GCACAGAGACTAGACTTCATTGAATTTAACTCACTTTCAAGCTTAATGTGTGCCTCGCTTACAACTTCCTTTCCTTTTTGAGAATTTTCAGGCCTACTCTCCTTTTTAAGTTCCCCAATTGTTTCCTTCAAATCCATTACCACCACTAGTAGGTCATCTCTCTCATGCTCAATGCTAGCAACTTTCTGGGTTAAGGAATATTTATCCCAAATTACACTCTCAATGGTCTCTTATAGGTCTACCGCAACAACCATTACAACATCTCTTTCTTGTTCTATATTTACAATTTTCCATCTAAGGCATCCTTATATTTGTTCAGGTTCTCAATTGTTTCTTTTAGATCAACTACAACAACTACTAGGTCATCTCTGGTCTTTTCTGCTTCTCCTCACTCTACAGTCAAAGTATCTTTATCGTTTATAAGACCGTCATAAGCATCAATTAACACATTTGCCAATGATATGAGTTTTTTTGGTGAATAAGATTTCAGATTTCTCTGAACATCCAGAAAATTAGCCTCATCATCGTCATTATCTTCATCATCATCAGACGGAGCCATCAAGGCAAAGATTGAATCGTACTAAGTTGCTTCACTTTCTACTACCATCATTGAACTATCACCATGATCAATTTCTTCTTTAGATTCGTTGGAGGAGTCTCCCAATGCAGCAAGGGCTTGCTTTACAACGTTGTCAACGGCATTTTTCCTATTGCAACGTTTATCAGGAACCGGGTTCCTCTTGGCTGCTTTGTCAAAGTTGTTTTCGTATTGATCTTGATTTAGGAGAGGACAGTCCTTGATGAAGTGTCCTAGATTGCCACATTTATGACAGAGGCCATAAGTTTTTGGCTTGCTGGGACTTCCCCTTTTGGGAATCCGCCATTCCTGCGAACCATCTTCTGGAATTTTCTTGTCAAGTAAGCCATATCACTATCCTCATAACTTATACCATTGTTTTCTGTCTTGAGGACCAGTTTCTTCTCTCTTTTGGGCTCTCTTCTTTCACTGTCCTTCTTCGCCTTTATTTTATATATTTTCAGATTGCCGACAAGCTCATTAGTGGTTAGCTCCTGCAAGTCCTTAGCCTCTGTAATGGCATTCACTTTGCTTTCACAAGAACTAGGCAGCACACTGAGGATTTTTTTGACAGGCTTATTTAATGGAATAATTTCACCAAGAGAGTGAAGCTCATTCATGATAGAGGTGAACCGGGTATGCATATCTTGAATAGATTCATCATCTTTCATCCTAAAGAACTCGTATTCAGTTGTGAGCATGTCCATCTTGGATTGTTTAACCTGTGTTGTTCCTTCGTGTGCTGTCTGAAGAGCTTCCCAGATTTCTTTGGCTAACTGACATGCCGATATCTGTTGTATTCATCAGGACCAATGCCACACACCAGAATTTTCTTCGCACAAAAATTCTTCTCTATGACCTTTCTATTAGCGTCATTGAATTCTTTCCTTGTCTTGGGAATGGCTACAGCTGGGTCGCCAAGGCTCTTGGTAGGGACAAAGGGTCCGTCACATATGACATCCCATAGCTCACATTCAACCATGATGAAGTCGTGCATCCTAGTTTTCCACCATCCATAATATTGTCCATTGAACCTAGGCGGTTTGTAAGTAGACTAGCCTTCTTCGAAGTTTGGGGGAGCAGACATGAGGATCCTTTCTAGGTGTTAACTTGATAGAAAGAACCTGCTCTGATACCAATTGATAGAATATAAGGGTCCACCAAACTCTATAGAGAACTAGGTTCTCTATCAGGTTCAACAGAACACACGCACACAGCAGTAAGTAAATGACAAGAGGAATTTTACGTGGAAAATTCCCAGCTAAACGGGATTAAAAACCACGACCTACCCTTGTAAGATTTCAACTCACTACTGAGCAAATTTTAGATTAAAACCTATGCAACCTAGGAATTAAACTCTTAAACTCTTACTAACTTGTAACACACCTATTACAAGCCACTTTGTAATACCTCTATTACAAAGACTGCACAACTCGACTAACTCTAGCTAAGATTCAATCACACAGGTTTAAGATTTACAAAAGGCTTTCCTACACACTGCTTCTATGTAAGCTAAGTAGGAGTTACAAGTAAAAACATTAATAAAGTTACGACTCAACTAAGGACATACAATAACTTGATATGGGAACTGGTCCTTAGTTGTTTTGTTCTTTGTTCTTGAAGCACTTGAGAGTTGCTTGTTGGATGGTCACATGATTGAGCTTGAGTGAAATCTCTAAGTTAGTGAGTGTTTTACCTTCCTTGAGGTTAATAATACATGTGTCATATTACTTACAATAATGTAAGCAAGGTAGGTAAAAAGTCTTCCACAGAAAGTTGACTGTTGCACTGTTCCTGTACTGTAGCGTGTGCAGGCAGCAACTTTCCAACTGGAGAGTTGACTTCGTACAGTCACCTCGGGAACTGGTAGGGACCTGTACCCTCAGCAGTTCCTTCTACTCTGAGGAGTTTAACCATATCTCAAGCTGGAACCTTGTGATCTTAAGGTTTTGAGAATGTGTGATAGATTCCTTATCTGGTTCTAGATAGTAAGTTTGTTAGATCATCAAAACATAAAACAAAGTACTCATGACCAAGATACTTGTAACCTATCAAAATCCCTCACAAAAATGGCCCCTCGCCGAGCTCCACAAGTCAAAATGTGAAATAATACTCTAATCCACGATTTGGGATTTTTAAATCTCCCCGGGTGCTCCTCCTTCGCGAAAGCGGAAACTGCCTCGCATTCGCGAAGCACAAAAATTATCAGCTGATGAAATCCTCTTACACGAACGCGACACGAACGCGATGACCCAAGCCACAAAGCTTCGTCGATCGCGGTCCTCACCTCGCGATGGCGATTAACAAAAATACCTGCCACCCTTGGCCTTGCCTCCCTGCTACGTGAACGCGAACTTCCTCTATGCACACCTAGCAGAACCTTTGCAAACACGACCAACTTCTCGCGAACGTGATGCACAAACATCACAAGTCACCGAAGGACTCTTCGCGATCGCAATCCATACCTCGCGAACGCATATTAGGAAACCAGATACAACAATTTCAGCAGTCCAACAAATCCAAAAATGAGGCGAACATGATCTGAATCATACTGGAGGCCCCCGGGACCCCATCCAAACATTCCAATAGGTTCTAACATGACACGAACTTAGTCGAAGCCTCAAATTATATCAAACAACATCAAAATATCGAATCACACCCCAATTCAAGCCTAATGAACTATTGAACTTCCAACTTCTAAAACCAATGCTAAAACACACCAAACCAACTCCGATTGACTTCCAATTTTGCACACAAGTCATAAATAACACAACGAACCTATTTGAACTCCCGGAACCAAAATCCGAGCCCGGTATCAACAAATTCAACTCTCGATCAAACTTCTCAACTTTATAAACCTTCAACTTTCCAACTTCGACAAACGACCTACAGGCCTCCAACTCAATATCCGGACATACTCCTAAGTGCAAAATCACCATATGAAGTTATCTGAATCATCAAAACTCCATTCCGAAGTCGTTTACTCATAAGTCAATATCCAGTTAACTCTTTCAACTTAAGCTTCCAACCTTGGGACACTTCATTCCGAAACATCCCCGGAACCGAACCAACAACCTGGCAAGTCACATAACTACAAATGAATATAGAATAAGCAATAAATGCGGGAACGGAATGACAATACTCAAAACGACCGGCCGGGTCATTACAGTAGCGGGAAGGATTTCTACAATTGGTGAAATCATAACTCTAGTCCTTGTCTCCAACCCTTAGTATCTTTAGTTGTTAATTTACTAATTTAATTTGTTAAGAATCTTAATATTTATAACTTAGAAATTGTTCGAGTTTGTCTTCTTGGTAATAGTGAACAGTTGTAGCTAAACCTTAGTTCTTTATGGGATTCGACTCCGGACTCTTATACCGGATTATATCTGCAACGACCGCTTATTCTTTTTAGGAATAGAGTTGGGCGTGATCAATAGCTAATATTTTCAAAGGTACAATATTGTTGATCAGCTCAGTCTTGACAGTCAGGTGTTCATAAGCACATGACTCAAACAAAAATCCAAGAAGCCGTCCAATTTTGATTTTCTTTTTTTCAATTTTTTTTTTCGTAAACATGTCTAACAGATATTTGTGGCCAACTGAAACATTGAATTTTAAATTGGACAGGCGTTGCACATTTAAAAGTGCCCATAGACGAAACGGAGGGGATCCTCACTGGAGAGGTCTGAATCCTTTCTGGTTCTAGACACGCTTTCATATAAGAAAAACTGTTATTGTTGGCATATGAGGGGCTATTCATATTTATTAACTAAAACCCACGTTGAGTTTATGGGTGACTATTCATACATATGTTTCTCTGCAAAGGTGGAAATGCAAGGTTCTACCTACCCACTCTTAATTGTCCCATCCTAGTTAATTTTAATCCATATTTTTGTCTTCACAAGTGCAATTGCAAAATTCAACGCTAACCAGTAGAATAGGCAAGGCTATTTACACGGCACACTCCAGTCCACGGTGGGCTAAGAGTTTTTTCTAGAAATTCGACGCTGCAATTTAATAATAGAACTACTCACAATCATTGCTTTTTTGGTCTTTTGCTCTACTGCTATTTTTTAAATGTTATATCCTCCCCATGTGAATCATAAGAAAATTACTAGTACCGCAATTATATTAATCATAAGAAAGCCTTCTTAAAGTGGGACCACTCCATGTCGTGAAACAAATAATGGGAATGTACTAAGTTGTTTCTCAATTATAAATACCAGGCTGCAGATCTCATAACTGCAATAGTCCAAACCTTAGTAGAAGAAGAATACCATTCAGCCTGAGCAGCAGACAGCTACTCCAACTTAGTATCCAAATCGCTTGAAAAGAAGTATGGAACATCAAGGATTAAGCACCACTATGAGGAGAATCCTCCTGCTGATTAATTGTTTAATACTCGCGGTTGGTATCTGCGGTGGTCCTCTAATTATTAGATAGAAAGCTATCTTGTAATCCTTATCTTTGTTATTTTAGATTAACCTTTATCTCTTCCCCTTCTTCAGGGATTCTACTCCTCCTTAATCAAGGATTGCTATGTATAAATACGCCTATGTGTTCATTAATAAAGTGCAGCCTTTGAAGTTCTAATACAACTTTGTTATGGTATCAGAGCCTACTGCTTAACGGCTTTGCGATTTATCTCGTTTCACCGAAAACCATGGGAAACGAAGAAACTCTTCTACTCACTCACTGCCAGTCTCTACTCCAGTTTTTGGTACAGAACGGATGACTACAGCCACAGTTTCCGGTCATACCACTGTAGCCGATCACACTTCTCTTCTTGTCGGATCACACCCGCTTTCCTTTGCTGCAACCTCCATCCCTGCCCCTCTAATCTCTGCCAACTATGCCAGTAACCCTTCTCTTATTCAGTCGCTGGGCTCTTTACCACCATCAACTTTGCCAACCTTTTCAATGGGTGCACCACCCACAAACCATATGTTGGGGCCTTCTGATAACCAGACTATTCCTTCTCTTCCTTCATTGCATCCCCCATTTGACACTTCCCTACCTAACTCATTTGTTAATCAGATAATAAACCCAACTCCTTCATCCATCATCTCCTCTCAGCCAAATACATATTCCTCCGCTCAATCCTCTCTAATTAATATAACCTCTTCGTTGCAGGCTTCTGTTAAACTTACCTCATCTAACTATCAGACTTGGTATTCCCAATGGCGCTCTATTCTTATTGGGTATGGGTTCACACATTTTGTGACTATTCAACCATCAACACAGCAAGTTCGATCCGACTACCGGTATCGTCAAGATCAGTTACTGAGAAGTTCCATTATCGCTACCCTTTCAACAGAAGTTCTTCCACTTGTGAATACTGCAGAGACCTCGTATGATGTTTGGACCACCTTGCATACTATGTATGCACGTCCCTCTCGAAGTCGGATTCTTAGTCTAAAAGAATCCTTATCTCGGGCTACTAAGGGATCGCAGTCCATGTCCTCCTACCTTCAATATGTTAAACAACTGGTCACGACTCTTAACTCTTCTGGAGCAAATTTGACTATGGATGATGTTACCTTACATGTTTTGCAGGGCCTTCCTTCTGAGTACCGGGGTATTGCGGATTCAATTCGTACTAGGGATACACCGAGGAGAGAATTTCTGGTTCTTCTTGTTTTACCATACGCCAACTTCACCCCCTCCATCTTCTAATGTTCTTTGGTCCCACAAATGAAAAAGAATTTGCTTTCTGTTTATCAGTTCATGTAAATCAAATAATGTTTCTGTGGAAATTCTCAGCCTGTTTCTTATATTTGTGAAGGATTATCTGACGGGAGCCTCTGGTAACGTGGGAAAGCCTAAAGATGGAGTTTATCATGGCCATCAACTTGCATCCTCACCTCGGCCCTTTCTACTCAACTCTGTTTTACTCGTAGCTTGGCACAATCGTCATTGGTCATCCAGCTTCTCCTGTCTTGCAATCACATTTTAGGCTCTTTGAATATTCTAGTTTTGTTTCATCCAATATTTTTGCAATTCTTGTAAGTGCAATAAATGCACAAACTTCCTTTTGGAGTTTTCCTTCAATAAAATCGTCTTCTCCTATTACAATATCTATTCTGATGTTTGGGGCCTGCACCAGTTTCTTCAATCGATGGTTTTCAAATTACCTTTATTTGTTGATCATTTTACTAAGTATGTTTTGGCTTTACCCAATGAAAAGAAAATTGAGTCTCTAATATATTCCTAAGTTTAAAGCTCTTGTTGAATAAATTTTTTCAATGGCCTTTGTGTCTGTTTATTCCGACAATGGTGGGTGAATATATTCATTTAAGAGAATTCTTTACCTCTCATGGGTATTTCTCATTCCTTACACCACCATATACACCGGAAACATAATGGAAGCAGCCTGAACGAGACATCCGTCATATTGTTTGAAACTGGCCTTACTTTACTCCATTTGTCCATTTACCCCTTTCAATTTTGTCATATCGCATTCCTAACAGCTGTTTATCTTATCAAATAGACTTCCTACACCGTTGCTTAATCATGATTCGCCATACTCCGTTGTTTTGGCGAAACTCCAAATTATCATAAGCTACGGATTTTCGGTTGTCTTTGTTATCCTTGTTGCGCCCACAGTCTCATAATAAACTTGAGCCTCGCTCCACTCCATGTATATTTTTGGGGTACTCTACAAATCAGAGTGCTTATATGTGTTATGATCTTCAAAAGCACAAAATGTATATTTCAACAGCCATGTTGACTTGTCGAGCATGAATTTTCCCTCTTCTCAATATTCTGGTGCTAATAATATTGTCACTACTGAATACTATTACAGCTTGGGCTCCTCATTATTTTGTTCCGATGGCGCATTGGATCTACTACATCTGTTGTCCTCTCCCAGAGCTGGTGCGTCTTCCGAAGATTCTCCTTCACCCTTTCCATCTTCAACAACTACAGAAGGTTGTTCAGGTACAGTCCCTCGAAGTTCTTCCTCTGCTTTGCCTTCTAGTTTAGCCACTGTATCCAATGTACAGGAACCTGAACATTTGCCGAAACCAGTGCTCCAAGCCAACTACCATGGCAGCAGATTCACCAACTCTGCCAGTATTTACCCATTCACAATCCATGCCTTCCTCACTAGTCCCTCCAACATCTTCTCAAAAATGCCTATCCTATGGTCACTCGCTCAAAGAACAATATTCGTAAACCTCTTACTAGACTTTGCCTTGCAGCTTTCTGTTGATACACCTAAATGTACCAATCTTTCTCTTCTTAAGAGTGAACCAAAGAGTGTGGCGAGTGCACTTAAGAATTCTGATTGGCTGTATGTTAGCTGAGATTTAATGCTTTAAAGGCTCAAGGCACTTGGACCCTTGTTCCACGTCCTCTGGTACGAATATTGTTGGGTCTAAATGGATTTTTCGGGTGAAACGGAATTGCTGATGGAAGTCTCAACAAATACAAGGCTCGTTTGGTTGCTCAAGGGTTTACTCAAAGACCAAGTATTGACTATATTGAGACCTTCTCACCTGTTGCAAAACATACTACTGTCCGGGTTGTTCTCTCTCTTGCTGTTTCTCAAGGCTGGTTACTTCGACAACTGGATGTTAATAATGCCTTCCTGCATGGCAACCTTAACTGAAGAAGTATACATGGCCCAACCAAAGGGGTTATCGATGCTAATACTCGAATCATGTGTGCAAACTGCACAAGTCATATATATAGTCTCAAAACAAGCTCCGCGTGCTTGTACCAATGAATTGTCTGAATTCTTGTAAGTATGGGTTTGGGGGTGTGCTCTTCTGATAATTGTTTATTTATCTTCTCTGTAGCTGGAATAATCATGTATCTCATTGTGTACGTGGATGACTTAATAGTTACAGGCAATAATTTGAAGGCCATTGAGAGGTTCATTACAAAGCTTGGAACTAGATTTTCAATTAAAGATCTTGGTTCTCTTGCTTATTTTCTTGGTATTCAGGCTACTCGTACATCTATGGTTTGTTTCTGTCTCAAAGGAAATTATTAAAGATATTGTTCCAAAAAGGCTTCTATGCTAGGTGCAAATCCAGTTGCTACACCTCTGGCAGCCACTAACTCATTGCAACTTGATGATAGTGCACCAATAAGTGATCCACATGATTACAGGAT